AAAAAAAAAAAAAAAAAGTATAGGACAATGAAAACCTTCCCAACAAGAGGTTTGGTAGAAAAAATCAGCTGAATCTACACTGGAGTAGGTTTGGGGGAACAAGAGGACCAAGTTAGTGATGACACTTATATAAAATAATTCCGAGGGGCATGCCTTCTAAAGTAGAACGCAGAAGTAGTTTGGGGTGGGGGAAAAAAGAAACTGGATTATCCTTTCCCTCCACAGCATTCTCTACTTTGAAAAATATTTCTCTCCAGTTGGATCCTGTGGATCAGTTTTACTGTCATGGGCTGGGGAGATGGCTCAGCAGAATAAGCACTTCCCTGGCAAGCACAAGGGCCTGTTTATTGCCAAACCATTTTCATATGCTTAATATTTCATGCATTTAAATTAGGATCGATTTAGTTACAGGTATGGTTTACCATTATTTTGCTTAATATCGTGTGGAATGTATGTAAAATGCTGTCTGGATTGAAACCATCCCTGCAGCAGAAACACAGTTGGAACTGAGAACTTTAGGTGAAACTGCATAAGGAGAATTTAGAAGCAGAAAGGACCCTGGAGGAGACAGGTGACGAAGAGCACAGAAGGAATCAAACTGTCTTCCCTTTAAGAGTGAGGCACTCTGTCTCTTGCCTTCAGCATATTCACACTTTCATTTGTTTTTCCTTTTATTCACTGCACTCAAATCAAGTACAGCTTTCTGCACGTGTTAAAGGAAAAAGATGCATTAAAAGTTATTGAAAATTGGGCTCTGGGATCTTTTCATTTTCACTTTTACTGTGGCATTTTTGTTCAGACCTCAGAATGAAAAAAGAAAAAATGCAATACTTCCTAAACAGTAAGACATCCCTTCGCTCACAAAAACATTTCAATAAAAACTATAAAACTTAGACTCTGAAACCTAAAAAAAAAAAACAAGTGCTTGCTTCGGCAGCACATATACTAAAATTGGAACAATACAGAGGAGATTAGCATGGCCCCTGCACAAGGATGACACGCAAATTCGTGGAAAGAAAAGCTAATTTTATTTATCATATCTTGGGACTCTGCGAGCCGCATTATCTCTGTGAAGAGAAGAATATTCAACCAGAAAGCCCAGCTGAAACGCTGCCACTCCAGAGAGGTGCGTGTGGAGCTGAGAGAAGTCAGTGACTTGACGTTACGGAAGGAGGAGATCGGGAAAGGCGTGCGGGCTGACTTCTATGCACATATTTTCCATTATGTCTTTTTTTTTGTTTTTTAACGTATTTAGTACAGGGTCTACAGGGTCTCACTACACAGATTGGGCTCGTAGTAATCCTCCTGGTTTCCGCCTCCGAAGTGCTGGGATTACAGGCGCACACCACGACATCTCAGCCACCGTCTCAGCGCGCCTGCACCACACATGGGAGATGGACATTTTTCATTTTAGCAAGGAATTTATTTCTACATGAGCTTTATACCCTTGTTGTACTGAAAAATAATATAAACTTATGAACGTTAGTCTATGAACTTAGTCTATTTAACTTTTAATCCTGCTTAGGCTATTTACTGACATACGACGGAGTTACTTATTCATTACAATAATTTTCAAACTAGTAAGCTTGGACTTTTTACCATGTGTTAGGCAGAAACGGACAACACAGTCCATACTTCAGGAACAGACCGGGTTACTACTGAAGATGGAATGGCTGAAGTTAGTTTTTCTTGGAGGAAACACGGCCTGACAAGAGCAAAGGCAAAGCCCTCCAGAGGAAGTCTGTGGAGAAGGAAGAAGAGGGAGAAGAAACAGGAAGAAAGAGAAGAAGACAAAGGAGGAGGAGAAGGAGAAGAACGGAAGGAGGGAAGGGGAGGGGAGAGGTGTGTGAGGGTCACTGGGCCATTCTCAGCTGGAACAGGCAGTCTGCAAAACATGGGTGTATTGCTTCAAGCCAAGAAAGCCCACAGCGAATTCCTCTGATCACAAACGGTTAAGGCCATGTAAAGGGTTAACAGAGTTTTGTGCCTTGTGGGAAATTCTTCAAAAAATGGAAAAAAAAAAAAAAAAAACACCTTTGTGCTTCCTGTTATCTACTCTAAGAAATGTACTCTCCCTCTCGGGCTCAAGGCTATTCAACAATAAATAACTGTTTTGTGTCAAGGCTGCAAGCTAACACAAACTCCCTCCCTAACCATCTCCTGTTATGTAGTCAGCTTAAGATGTATCTTGTAAAAATATGCACTTATCTCTAAGCTGTGTGTAGTGGTTGATACATTGCGTGAACTTGGCCGGATGACTCCTTGGTGCACTTGCGGCTGGTGGGGGTCCCGCCCTGGGACACAATTGGTTCTGCCCCCAGAGTGACTCAGCACAAAGAGACCAGATAAAGGGGCTAAGGAAGTAGTCGCTCTCTTCATGTAGTCTGAGGAGCTTCAGTCTTCGCATTGGCCTGCAGACTCTTCCACCTCCGGCTTGGATCCTCCACTTTCCCTCGCAGACTCTTCAGTCTTCTCTCGCAGACCCATCAGCTCGAGCACAGCAGTGGGCTTCAGACCTTGGGACTGAACTCCTCAGTTTGGGGTGTGCAGACGCCCTCTGCACACTCCTCCATCTGACTCTGTGGTTGATGTAAGCCAACCTTCTAATACCTTATAGGTTGTAAATCTTGTGTTAATATCTGTTCCTTATATTATATCTGTTCCTCTAAGTAAAACCTTGACCAATACACTGTGAAAGACCCTTTAGTTATGAACAGTCTGCAGCTGTGTCAAATGAATGTAGTTTCTGTTGTTCTGTGCTAGAGAACAAATTCGCTTACCAAACTGGATGTGATTTCTGTTATAAATACCCCCCTGTGAAATGGGATGAGCTAGGAAACATGACAATGTTAAGCCATGCAGTTATATGTAAAAGTTGAGCAAGGCAATGATCCGGAGAATATTCAGAAGATTCTTTAATCTAGCAATTAATTGGAAAGATTCTCACCCTGACTAACTATATATACTGATATCTGTGAACTAAGCTACTGCACTGCAGATGGTAATTTGTAATAGTGGTTTCATATTGGGAGTGCCTGTCATTGTGGTATTCTGAACACGGGCTGCTTGTCATGACATGCCTGTTACTGCTAAGATGTCTCTCGGGTAGGTGGATGTTCAAGAAGAAGGGGGTGGTGAATGAAAGCAAGAGACAGGAAAAGGAATACTGTGGGACAGTCCTGCTTCAAGGTTGTATATGGTGAGATTTTTGGACTTATGTGCAAACATGAGAAGCATAGAATTCTTTATCCTATTGTTAAAATATAATCTAATTTTTAAATGTTCTTTATCATATTACGTAGGGACTTAAGGTTCAACATGTCAATACTTGATGAAAAATACCTGTTCCTTATTATGCCTAAGATGTTTGAAATGTAGTGAAATAGTGAGGTTAAGCTTGATAACGTAAATCGTTTGTTAATAACAATAAGCTTTTCTTCTGGATGGTTAACAACCTAAGTTTGCAGACCAAAATTAGAGAAAAAGGAGGGCTACAAGGAAAGCCAATATTTTGGCCCTACCCTTCTAAGGTCAATTAAGACTCAGGACATATGAGAACTTGTACTGTAACGTCAAGTACCTCGGTAGTGTCCCAGATTTTCTGATCAAGAAGGTTATGGGGCCAAAGAGGAAATTGATCGATGACGTGGAGTGTGCCTAAGGAGAGTCACATGAGGAGAAGACACTCTCTCAGGCTTTCACAGAGAGCACATTGGCCAAGCAATGGCCGTGACTCATCCACATGGCTGCACTGACAAAGGTTCTACAATCTGAGGTACAGGATCTCAGGATAAATCCTGAGGGCATTTCACTGACCTTCTCAAACCAAAAAGCTACAACTCTTGTTGCATAGGTTCTGCTTTACCTTGGTCTTAACCATCCAGTAGAAAAGTATGAAGATGAAATATAGGAAGTAAAGCCATGTTGTTATGTTGAGCTGTGGGGGACTCACGTCAATAATTTCTGACATTGCCAATTAAACAGAAGACCCAATGCTATTATGGGCTTCTGCACTCTTTTAGAATATTTTGCTGAGTTTACACACCTATAATATTCAACAACGGAACTTAAAAAAAAAATTGGGGTATAACTATGAATGTCCATTTTGTATCTGTGTATTCAAAGTGGTTGGGATAGATATATAGTTGTATTCTCTTAATGAATAGAATGATTTTTTCTAATGGTGTTTGTAAGTAGGATCACAACTCTGCATCTTGTACAGCAATTAACCACTAAGAAGAATATATGCAGTGTATTATTTGTTGAAACTGTACTTTCGATTTGATTTGAAACTGTCTCATTGCTATATGTTTATCAATAAAACTTTGAAAAGAAAAAAAATAATAAATAAATTGAAGGTTGCCAGATACAGAGTAAACTGTGCATAAATTTTTTGAAAAAGTTACAAGGAAAAGAGATGAATTTCTGAAACATTTTATACCTGGTACTTACATTATTTTTTTTTATCTTTCTATAATTCTAGCTAAGAAAAAACAAAGTATCTAAAACCATTCTGTGAACTTAGCAAAAGTATAAAGGAGCATTTTATTGTGAAAAACAAATAAATAAAAATTTTTGAAAAGAAAAAAAAAAAAAATACCCCCCTGTACCTACGTTTGGGGCCAATCAGCCTTCTCCTGCGTGAGAAGTGGCTGAGGGACCTGAGCTCAGTAAATAAAAGGCTCTGTTCAAATCTCTATAAGGCTGATTTGGTTCCTATGCAGGGTTGACCCATCACAGGCCAGGGGCCCCGGGCAGGGTTTAGATCCGTGTCTGCGCCTTGGGCACCAGCCCCCAGATCCGTTCAGGCCCAGGCTCCCCGGCGCCCAGGGCCCCTCCACGCCAGCAGCCCTCGTCTGACCCCGCTCACGCTCCTCCGCGGAAGCTCCAGGCTGCAGCCCTGCCCCATCTGTGCTCCCTTCACTCCCAAACCCCCAGGACGAGCATCCTAGACAGAGGCAACCGCATAGAGCAGCCTGCCCGCCCGCCCCTCTCCCTGGAGCCCGCAGCCCGGTGCGGTGGTGCCCGCGCGCCCCCTGGCGGCCTCCTGCTGAAGCGCAGCGCTCCTGAGTCCGCGGTTCTCTCCTGAGGGCGGCGCTGCTGCAGCCTTGCCTGCTCACTTGGGCATCGCTGCCCTTGGGGCTGCGGCCTGGGAAACAGGGAAACCTTTCTGCTCCTGAGGCAGCTGCAAAGCATCCTGTCGCGCTAGACCCCAAGGAGCCTCGCAGACCGCTAGGACAGTCAGGACTGAAGCACACAGCGACATCTTTATTTCAGGCTGGGTGCAGCCTGGTCAAGGGCAAGAAGGACTTTGATCGCGAACAAAGGGAGAGAATCTGGTTTAACGAATTTTTTTCCCATAATTTTATTGAGAAACAAACAGCAATGAGACAGTTTCAAACCAAATTGGTAGGACAGTTTCAATAATTCACACATTACATACATTCTTCCTAGTGGTTTTTTGCTGTACAAGATGCAGACACAATATCCTATTTACAAGCACCATTAGAACAAATCCGTCTATTCATTAAGAGAATGTAACTATATATCTATCCTAACTATTTTGAATACATAGATACAAAATGGACATTCATCTGTATCCCCTTTTTTGTTTAGTTCCATCATTTGAATATTATAAGGCCAGGGAGATGGCTCAGTAGGATAAGCGCTTGACTGGCAAACACAAGGATCTGAATATTATAGGTTTACGTGTAAACTCAGCAAAATATTCTAAAAGAGTCCAGTAGTCCATAATAGTACTGGGTCTTCTGCTTGCCTGACAGTGTCAGAAATTGTTGACCTGAGTCCCCTACAGCTCAACATAACACCATGGCTTTTCTTCTTTTTTTTTTTTTTTTAATTTTTT